TGGATTGCACCATGGTGATTGATATATCAAGGAGGGAACTCCAGAATGTGGTGTGCAAATGATTGATGCTTTGTTTTAGTACGATGAGATTTTGTTTTGGTTTATGAACACTATTTTATGTATATTGTTTTTTTAGGGCCGACAATATTTGTGCGATACTGTAGTCTCCGATTCGGTGATTTTTTCCGTTTGTGATTTACACATATATTTAATAATACACAGTGATTCCTATATATTATTTAGTTAGATGCTTGGAGACTAGGAAGCACGGATACGGATATATGACGCGGGTATAATACGATACGGATATGGCGATACGACAAAACTTAAAAAAATAAGATACGGGTACAATCAAGATACGTCTATAATAAAATATATTTTATATTTTATTATTATTTAACGACTTAGAAATTACAATTTTTCAATAATTCTTTAACATTAGTAAGTAAAATTAAAAATTTTTACCATGAAAAGGTTATAATATCATCTCATTATGATCTATTCATAAAATGAGCATGGCAAATTAAAGGAATTATAATAACATTTAACTAGTTGATTTTACAAGTATTTATTTTTAAAAGTATAGTGTAAGTGATTCATTTTTTTTATACCCTATTAACATATAATAATAGATAATACTTAAAAAACACTCGTGTTTTTAAAATCAGATGGAATTTTGTTGATGTTTTATATTGTATGTGAACTCCAAAGAATGGTTATAGCTTAAAATTGAAAATTGTACATCTTACACCATGTTTAAAAGTATCTGTGAAGTATCCACATATTTTATTAATTATCGGATATGGATGATACGTATCATCGAGTATCCGATGAGTATCGTATCTGATACGGTATCAGATACGGGTACGTCGACCTTGACGAAGTATTCATGCTTCATAGCTTGGAGATAAGTTTTTTCTAACTTTATTTTGTTTAAGTATAGGTGACCTTCGTATTCATATTTATGAATTATTAATTTTATTTTGTTATTTGAAAGTGAAATTTGTTACAACTGACCTTCAATTGACTTTTATTTTTCTACGGAAACTCGTCTCTATTTTTGTTTGACTAATGATTGTATTTGTTACGTGCCAATCGATTTTAAAAATTTTATTTTGTTTAGTTCTTTTTAGTGTCTTTACTAATTTAATATTTCAATGATAATGTTTGAAAGATAGTTCATTGATTAAATTTAATGGACGATCAGTGAATAACTGATAGCTTTTTAATTGCATAATAACAATTAACTTCGCATTGTTACAAAGGTGATAATTAATCATCTTTATATACATATTATGTAATTAAATTGTTCATCCTTAAATAAAAAAAACTTGACTCCACCCCTATCAATATCCTACTTCATGGATCCTAATTAATGACATTGGAACTTCAAAAATTGACCTAATTTTATGTCAAGTGATAAAATTTCAATAAAATAGTCAAAACATTACCGTTATAACACTATTATAAAACCATGTCACTGTTACATCATTAAATTAATAAATTAAATTAAATTTTTAGATTTTAATAATAATATTTTGATGCTCCATTTTGGTATGATGAAAAAATTGAAGAATGAAAAGTTAGAAGAATGAAAAGTTGGAGAGATAAATAAAACATCATGTTTGGTAAAGAAGGATGAAAAAGTGAATAGATTAGCATTCTTTCCAACTCATCAATATCAATCCCTTTAAAATGGGAAGAAAAGTGGATGAAAAATTAATTATTTGTGTTGAAATGTATTTTATTTATCTATATATTATGTGTACATTAATTTCATATAAAAATACAATGATAAAATATATATTTATATATATTCTTTAAAAAAATAAATTAAAAAAATAAAAATTTTAAATTAAAAAAATATTTTTTTTATCTTAACTAGAGATGAACATTTTAGACTTAACATAATGACACGACTCGAACTCGACACAAATTTTATGACATAAACTTGATTATAACTCGACACGAACTTGAAAATGATCTGACACGCGAACAAAAAATATAAAATGCTCATAATTTTATGACTCAACACAACACGACTCGATTGTCACCCCTAATATTAGACAAAAAAATTATAAACGAAAATGGTCATTTTTATTTTACATCCATCCAATCAAATACAAAGGAAGAAAAATGTATCATATCTACTTTTCATGTTTGAAGGATAGAAAGTGTATCTCTTCTATTTTCTATCCTTCTTATTTTTCATCATTCCTACCAAACGGAACATGAATCTATTAACTAAAAATTGGGAAAATCGGAAGGAGGTACACCAAATTAGATTTAATTGTAAAAAAGTACACAGAAAAAAATGTTGAGTAATTAAGTTCTTAATTTTGATATTTATTTGTATCTAAGTACATTATTTGAATTTTATTAATTTTTTTATGACATTTTTGCCCTCTATTAATCCAAGTGTTTTTTCTTTGAAAAGTGGTGCATTAAACATCTCCCAGTTTTGTGGGAAAACTTTTTTTTTTTGGTTACAAAGAGAGTTAGAGCCCAAAAACTAACTAACAATTAACCTATAAAAACAGACACTATATTCATTCGAATCAATCAGGGAAATGATCCTTATAGGGGGTCTCTGGAAAACAGTGTTCCCCAAAGCCAACTAATGAGCCAAATTTGCTAACCAGTCTGCACAAGTGTTTGCTTCCCGATAAATATATTGAATCTGTGCAAGCCACTCACATCGTAACGATGCTCGAACTTGTAAGACCAAAGAACAATGATCATTTTCCCCTTCCTCATGCAGAATAGCAACGACTGTTTTGGAGTCAACCTCCAGTTCAATATGCTTATACACAAGCTCCCAAGCCATCCGCAGACCACCTAGAATAACCCATAATTCCGCAGACACATCAGAGCAAGCTCCAATATTTTGAGCAAAACCACCTAGCCATTTACCCTAGCATCTCTAATGAGACCCCTAGCCCTGACGTGACCCGTATGCTTCCAAAATGAGTCATTTGTATTCAGTTTAACCCAATCATTCTTTGGGGATACCATCCAACTTGTGTCCAAACCTTCTCAGTATCTCCTCCATTATTATGCAGCCCCATAACTTGAGCCACCTGAATTGCACTAACTTTTTATGGGAAAACTTTAATACACACACACACACATATATACTTGTTGTTAAATCTCTTATCTAAATTTTGAATTATCTTTAATGCACATTGATTCATGCGTATTTTTTTTTTTGGAAAAGTGATTTTATTTTTAAATTATATTTAATACACCTCGATTCATGCATTTTTTTTTGGGAAAGTGGTTTTATTTTTAACTTAATTTAATATCCAAATAGTGTAATAATAATAGTGTAACAAAGACAATGTAACAAATACACTGTAACAAAAATAATGTTCAGTAGTTTTGTACATGTGGTAACAAATTCAAAACGGAGATGGTCTATTTTGAATGAAATTATATAAAACTATATGTTTGACAAAATGTAATAGTACAATATTTTGTATAAAGAACTTGTTACATTGTTACACTATTACACTATTCGGATATTAAATTAACTTAAAAATAAAACTATTTTTCGAAAAAAAAAGACACATGAATCAAAGTGTATTAAATATAATTTAAAAACAACATCACTTTTCAAAAAAAAACAAACGCATGAATCAAGGTGCATTAAAAATAATTTAAAATTTAGATAAAGGATTTAACAACAAATATATATATATATATATATATATATATATATATATATATATATATATATATATATGTATTAACAAATATACACGAATCAAAGTGCATTAAAGATAAGAGATTTTGAATTAAATGACCCTAAAATGGGCATTTACGTCTTTGTATCTCAGTTGTGTATTTTTTTCTAAAATATTTTGTTCTATATACTCTTTGTCAAATGAGTCTAATTAAGTGTACTGGCTTCCAAATAATCCCTTAAAATAGTAATGCTACACTGACTAAATTTATAGTCAAATGACATAACAGCTGACTTGAACTTCTTTTTTTAGTGTCATGTCATTTGGGCCCCAATAAAGACTTCAAATAAAATGCTACCACGTCGTTTGAGTTTCAAATTTAATCCCAAAATTTGATTAGCATAACATTACTCTACTCACAATTATCCAATAAAAATGCCCAAGGAGGATATCTCTTGATGTATGAGTGTGCTAAATTATTTGGGCACAAAATCTTAAAACTCGGTATCGGTTCCTAAGAAATATACACAAAACAATAACTAAGATTCTGTCAAATTACAACAATTTGGGCCGAGTGTTTGTTTAAAAAAATTATGATTGGATCATTTGAATCAATTTATGTACACCTTGATTAATTTTTTTTTTGTTAAATCAAAAACTAATCATCTATACCGAGACTAAAAAATTTATAAGGGATGACCTGATTTCAGGAGAAGTTGTTAAATTTTAGAAATAATATTTCAGTTTACTACTCATCCTTGTTTTAGCTTGTTAATTTAAAGTAAGCTTCTTTCTAGTACACTTTCTTTTATTTTTTTATTGGCATATTATCTATTATATATTTAAGTGTAAGTCTTTCACCACTAATTAATGATGACCAGCGTGCCAACAAGAAGAAGGGAATTGAACAGAAAGTGCGGTGGAGATGATATCCTTGGGCCATCCGTGGGTTTATATACTGGCGATGTCCGGATCCCTGGGATGGGTGATTTGGGTTGACTGCTTCTTCAAGAGATTATGTTCTGTTCTGTGTTCTTTGTTCAACAGATTAGTCCAATTTTGGTTGGCTTCAGGTCTTTCTGGCCAGAAATGAAAAGAAAAGACATGCTAGAACGTAAAGAACTGAGAACTAAAATCATAGAGTGATAACTAACACAATTATTTATCTTGCTCATAGTCACTAGTTTTAAACACTTATAGCAAACTTGCAAACTAACAAAGGAAAGCACTGATCACATAGGCCTCACTTGAGAAAAAACAAAAGTCAAGGAGTAGGAGGCTTCGTTGTGTGAGGTGAAGGGTAGTACGGTGTTGATGGCGGCCTCATTGTCGGAGGAGTCGTCAATTATGGACTTGGTGGTGACTTTGCATTTGAAGGCGATGGTGGAGAATATGGAGTTGGTGTCACCTGCCCATATGGAGGCGACGGTGGCGGATACAGAGATGGTGGTGGTTGTCCATAAGGAGGAGGACATCGAGGGGATGGTGGTGGGTGTTGTGCCGGCGGCGGTGGTTGCCCGTAAGTTGAAGGTGGATGATGATGAGTGGGTGGGCGATGATGGTGAGAGGGTGGTGGCTTGCCATAAGGAGGGTATTGTGATGGTGGTGGGTATTGGGACGGCTGTGGATGGCCATAAGTAGGTGGTGGATGCCGGTGAGTAGGTGGAGGGTGTCTGTGGGAGGGTGGTTCGCAACCATGAGAAGGTGGCGGATAACGGTGAGAGGGTGGCGTGTAACCCTCAGATGGAGACGGATGCCAATGGCCATGAGATAGGGGACAGTAGTGGCGAGAAGGAGGTGGATGCCTATGAGGTGGCGGTTGATGATAGCATGAGGGTGGTGGATGTAGAGGTGTGGGTGGCTGGTACCCGTGGGAGGGTGGTGGACAACCACGAGACGGAGGTGGAGTATTGTAAGTTGGTGGTGGGTACCAATGAGTGGGAGACGGGGGCCGGTAGCCGTGATGCTGTGGCAGTTTTGGTGGTTGGTAGCCATGAAAAGGTGGAGGACGGTATTGGGATGGTGACTGGTGTCCATGATGTGGTGGTTGTATTGGTGGTTTACGAGGTGGTGGTGGTTGATAACCATAAGAGGGTGGAGGATAGTAGGGAGCTTGTGGTGAGTATTTCTGAGGAGGTGAATATCTTGGCGGTGGTGTATGACGTGTTAAAGGTGGCGGACCGTAACCACCATATTGACTTCCTTGTTTTCCGGCGATGGCACCAAATGAAGGGATGGGGGTGTTATGCAGTGCCAGCAGCAGCAGCAAAAGGTGGGCCTGAGAAGTAGGTAGCTTCATTCTAACATACTAAACTCTCATTATGGCTTTGTTGTATTGGAGAGTTAGCTAGTGAGTGGGATGGTGACTAAGAGTGGGACTCTCCGTCTTATATAGAGATTAGTTATGTTAATAGTAAGTTTTTTATCCATTTAACAAAACCTAATTGAATGTTAAAGAGACTCATTTATTTGATAAGTAAAAACTGTATTACACCACTTGATATAAAAATTTGGTAAGAAATTTTGATCAAAATAACATTGTTTATAGAGATTTGAGAACCTTAGGGTATGTTTGGATAGAGTGGAATGGATTGAATATTTATAATCATTTCTTAACTAATTCAAACTCACTCAGTTGTCATTGGAATTAGATATAAATTAGTATATTCAATTATTTTTTTGTTTGAGTAGATAATAAATTTTTATGGGGTCTCTGAATAAAAGCCTGTCAAATTCATCACTATGTTTGATTTATAAATTAGCCACAAATTCATTCCAAACGAAAAATTATACGTTCACCTCTATTTTTTTAAAAACTCATTCAAATATAAAATAGATATTTTTAAATATATTGTAACCACAAACAAATAGGCGCATGTTACAGTGAGCAAGAGAAGAGAACAACAACTTATTTTAGGCAACGACAAGCAATATGTAAGTGAGTTAAAGTTGATTTTTCAAACTGTCAGGATAAGATCTAAATAGAATTTTTTATGTATTTTTTATTTACCAAACGTAAGATATATAAGTTTCACATGCTTTTTTATTCCATCTTACCATAGTTATCTATCTTTAATCTACGATCCAAACATACAATTAGTATCACTTTTCACTCCCCTTCCCCTTCCCCCTAAGAAAAGAAAAAAAAAAGTGTCTCTTTTCACTCACTACCAGTTAAAACCACCAAATAGCAAAGTGATTGTTAACAAACTTTACTCAAAAATTTAAGGTGTAATTTAAGTTTTATATTTCAACATATTCTGTCACACGTCTTGCTTTAATATCATGTTAACCACTATCCATTTGAAAGTTTAAGTTGATATAGAGAAGGTATAGCATACATATCTATCTAATACTCCGCTAATACCTAGGTAGTCCATCCACTTTATTTTTTATTTTTAGCACTAACGAATAAGTATTGTAAGATTTAAACTCAGAATCTCTACGTTCTAATATCATGTTGAATCACTATTCCATCTAAAAAAACTTAACATGGTAGACAGAGTGTAACATAAACATTTATCTAATAATCATTAAACAATTGCGAGAAGCTTTGAGTTTCGTTTGAGTTCGATACAAAATTTAGTTCAAGTTCGACTCAAATGTTAACCAAGTTCAAAGCCAAGTTCAAGAATAATCAATAACAATCACAATCAGAATGAAACCGTATGTGAACATACTTAAAACTCAACCACCCATTAACACCCCTGCCAAAGACTAATCTCGGTTGGCATGCACACCCCATGCAAAAGCTTCCACATCTGGTCCAACTTTAAGTAAGGAGGGGAGCTGAAGGGTTACTGGCGTAAGAAACTTTCTATGTATATCAAAAAACTTCGGATTTAGTGTCTGAGAAGTTTGACTTATGAGATGAAATTAGAAGGAAGAGCCAACCAGAACTGAGATTAAATTAGTACACCACGTTTATGAAGAAATGTCTGAATGTGGAAACCCATTGGCAGAGAGATGTCGCGAGGTCACCATCACATTCCCTATGAGATTAACACGGTGATCGTTTTTTCACGGAAGAGGCTATCGATTCTTCGTCTGTTTGTGGAGAAGGGACATGGGTTTGTTTTGGCGACTGGAGGTGGAGAAGTTAAAGTGAGTAGTTAGAAGTCCATATCCAGGTCTCAGAGACATCACCATCCACAACTTTGAGGCCCAAACTACTTGAGCCACCCTGTAGTTGTTGAAAAGAATTCGGACATGGCAAGAACAAAATCATGACAATTTGATATCGTTTGTGTGGTGTCATGATTAGATTATATCATTTGGATATCGAATTTTTTTAAAGAGTAATATTAGATGGATTTAAAAATAAGACTTAAAAATTAAATTTGATAATCTCAATCATTGAATAGGTAGTGGGTCCTAATAACTATTAGGACCCACAGTGAAATCAATGGTTTTAATTATCAAATCTAATTTTTAAGTCTACTTTTTAAATTCACGTAGCATTACTCTTTTTTAAATTGTGTTATATTTGAATTGATATGTATAATGGGTGACACTAAAATCCCAATTCAAGAACCCCTTTTTAAACTAATTCCACTATATATAGGTTTTCTACAAATGAGAGTTCTCATTTATCTAAAAAAGAAAAAAAAATCAAGTCAAACAATTTTCTTTATATAATACTAGTTAAATAAATTCAATTTGTGTTGATTGTTATCCGACTCATTTGACTAAAACCTATTCAATTATGCATGCTTAATCTTCAGTTGGGCATTTCTTCGAACTAGCTCTCGTGCTTTGCTTCTTGGGTGTTCTTAGTCCCTCATCCCATGTCTATACAATCAAGTCCTTGCCTCTAAATCTCGTTAGCAATTGGTTTAATGCTTATCAATTCTTCTTCAAGGTGAATCTTAAAATTGTGGGTTCAAATCTCGTTATCCCTGTAATAGAGTTTAATCGGAAAAAAAAAGGGTTGTGTTTGATTTGGTGATAATTGTGGTTGATTTTCTCCACCAACCACTGCAATACATGTCTATATTGCAGGTGGGAATTATATGGTGTGTACCACTACTAAACAATGTTACCGTCTATAAAAGCGAACGTGTTAGTTGTGTAACACGATATTAGAACTAGGAAATCTTGTATTTAAATCTTCTTGTCAATCTAATTGCTAAAATATGTGTACTTGTTTGGTTCAAAATCTAATGCATATGTGAAGGGGCTTGTTTTACGAGATTGGTACTTATATATTATATAACCCTAATATTTAAATTTTTGGAGTACATGATAACGTAACACAAAGCCTCAAGACCTTGTTCATTTTCTTATTTGCAATGGGGTCAGAGAGAGAGAGAGAGAGAGAGAGAGAGAGAGAGAGAGAGAGAGAGAGAGAGAGAGAGAGAGAGAGGTACCTCACTTTTAACTTTCGACAATGTAATCAAACTTAACCACGTAAATTAGATTTTAATTGGATCCAATAGGATGTTAGTGGGATTTTAAAAACCCGTGAAAGTGAATGAATTTGCCCAAAATTTATTAAATTCTGATATCGAGAGAATCCAAATCTCAAAACGCATGTCATGCATACACTACTTGTTTTTGGACAAAATAAAAATTAATAATGGTGTGTAATAAATAAATTTGTGATAATCCAAACTTGCATTCAACTTACATGAATGCTTTCATGAACACTATCGTAATTAAAGAAATAAATTCAAAATCATGTCTATACATATTTAAAATTATCATAAAAATAATTTAAAAACTAAATATAGACATATAATAAAACAAAATTATGATAATCAAACAAAATATGAATGTTAATATTATTATTTTGAAAAAAATTTAGTCACACCTCTTCTAATTTATCATATCTTCAAAGATACCCTCTCTATTTTTTGATTCTTCACTAACACTCCCTGTTAGATTAAAGATATTAATTAGAATATAATTTTTATTAAATTGCCCATAATATAGTTTAGGAAAAATTTTATCCGCACCCCCTAGATAGACATATCTTCAATGAGACTTTTTCTATTTTCTAAAATTTTTTACGTATTAAAATTTGGACCGATTAAAATTCAATTCGAGTTAATTAAAATTTATTTTTATGTATTAAAATTTGAATCGATTAAAAATTATATATTATTTTTACTTATTAAAATTCTATTCAAGGCTCAAATTAAATTTTAATTAAATCATATTAAATTTTAATCAACCTGAATTTTGATATATGAAAAAAATTTAATTGATTCAAATTTTAATCAACTTGAATTAAATTTTAATAAATAAAAAATATAAATTTTAATCGACTCGAAGAGAATTTTAATTGAGACTAAAAGTTCAAGTAGAGCTTAAATCGACTCGAATTTTAATACGTAAAAAAATAAATTTTAATCAATTCGAATCGAATTTTAATCGAATCATATTTTAAATATGTAGAATAAAGAATTCTAATCAACTCAAATTTTAATATGTAAAAAAGTGAATCTTAATCGGATTGAATTTTATGCAGAAAGAATGTTTGGAGTTTATGTAAGAGTAATTTTGGTGCTTTAGATAATTTATTTTTGTTATAAATGGTGGTTTAATGGTAAGGGATGTCAATGATGTTTAAATATAAAATAGAAGAGAGTGTTGCAGTGATATTTTTGATAATAAAAGATGTGTTCTTCAAGATATAATAAATTAGAATAAATGTTTCTAAAAATTTTTCTATTATTTTTAATCCACATGGGCAGTTTACTAATGTGGCTTAGCTTGGATTAATTGTAAATTCGAACATCTTAACCTCAATCTTAATGGATAACTCTTTGAATTTAAACGGATGGATCCAATCTATATTATTACAACAAACAAATTAGTTGCGAAAGACTTTAGAAGACCTTCCCTTACTGCAAGAAAATAATGTATATAATTTTTGAATTATAAAATTAAAAATTAATTATTTCTAGCAATAATCTTTGTCACTTTATAACTACCCATATTCTCTCCCACTAACTACCTATTATTTATTTAATTTTAATTAAAAATTACTCATATATAATTTTTTGTTTATAATTCTTTATTTAACTTCTTAAATGATAGGAATGAAAGAAAGGTAAAAATAACGGGAAAGAAAGGCAAAAATAACGGGAAAAAAAAAAAAGATAACGGGTTGTAATTTGTAAATTCCATGTATTGTAAGGTAAGGGCCACTAATATTAAATTAATTAAATGAATTTTATTTTTTTTTACATGAAATAATTATTATCTTACTTAAAAAATAGTTATTTTGAATTTATTTATCTATTAATACCGATGAATATTTTATGAAGTCAAAGATCCAGGTAAGAAGCAGCTAAAAAAAGGGGGACACAGTCTCTCTCACATACACACACACTGACAAAAACACACTGATCCACCGGCCACCGGAGGGAAACTCCTCTGTATGTACGTTTAAAAAGTTCGAATGCGGCGAGCATGAACATCAACGTTGAAGAAGGTGATTCTACTGACCAGAAAAAAGAAGAAGATTCTCTCTCCTCGGCCACCAATCTAAGCAACCCTTCCCTCCCAACAGTAACCCCACCCGCATCCACGGGTGGGGATGTTGATGTGGACCCACCACCACCTCTAGCGGCGGAGCAGTCACCAGCACCACAACAGAAACGACTAAACATGGTAATTCCGTCTAGGGACCCAGATGCACTCGTCAGCGGCGGTGGTATCAGGTTAATTTCCTCCCTCCATGTTCAATTTGTCTCATTTCGAATCTTTTTTTTTTTTTCTACTTATTTTTTCTATTTACTATCGTCGCTAGCGTTGCTATTGTTATGCAGATGGGTAAATTAATTTTAATAATTGTGGGTAAATTGTAATCTGTTTGATTAGCTTTTGTGAAATTATCGTTCTTAAAGGTGTTGGCAGTTCTTTCGCAATCGCCATTTTCAAACCTCAAATTCGTCAGTTATTATGAACCCATGGTTAGAACTTGCCCTTAGAAACCGGTTTGCAAAAGAAAGAGTACCCATTTACCATGTCTCGACCAGAGAGTCGCAACTCATACTGCATTTGATCCCATACTCAACGTAGTGGCTAGTTCGGATACCTTTTGTTATGGATCCATGGTAGAACTTGTCCTGAAAACTGGCTTGCAAAAGAAGGGTGTCCAATCGTAACATGTTATTGTGATGGGATAAAGTTGAGTGAACTGTTGCACATCTGTGTACATGTTGACAGAGTTAACAATATTTGGAAAATAATTTTTTATTCGCATATATAGATGTATGTATAGATATAGATGAACACTTGCAGAGAACACTAAAAAGTACAATGCTGGTCACCAGCTTCAAAACCTTGACATGTCTTTTAGGGTTATAGTTGAATTGATTGAAAGCCTCAATACCGTATGCTGATAGAATGAATAAAGTATGCAACAAGAAAGGGAAAAACCCAAGGGGGGAGTTCCTCTCTATAGCTAATAGCATTGTAGATGTGCATCTGATGGAGATTGTGTTGCTAATAGCATGATGCCGTATTAGTGCAGTGGTAATTCTCAGGACCTGAATTCTTGGCCTTTCTTTTATAACTGCTGTCAAAAATCCCACTTACTCTGAGTTTCAATTTTACAATACCGAGGGATTTTGAAGATAAATACTGGTTGCGTTGTTTGATTCCAAGAATTTTGTCACTTAGAAATATTTAATTGTTGAAAATAACTTTAGCACAAATCAATTGAGGCTGAGGGCACACAACTTAAATGAGTTCGGATAGGGTAGATGGGTGCTTGCTATGTTGCAGACTTGTGGTTGATCCAGTATTCTAATAGAGCATGTGAGAGACTAGGTTTGGCGAGATCTTCATTGGGACAAACTTTTGCTTGTCCTAGACAATTAGACAGAAACTTGAATTTTGATAATATTTGGAAAAGAGCTTAAAAGAAAGTGCATGGTGGGTTAAATTTGATTCAAAGCCAAAATTAAACTTGTTTTTAAGATTCTGTTTTAGCCAGGTTTGCTAGCTCTATTTTCATACTCTCCAATGGCAAATTGCGAAGTCAATGATTCATTTATTGTTCCTTTGTGTTGGAGCATCTAACTCAAAAGTTAAAACCAATTAGTAATGAGTGGAGTGACCCCTCAAACAAGTATATAAACCAACTTTGAATAGTCCTAATCATAGTTATCAAATCGTGTATCGGAAGGCGTATCGTAAGATACAAATATTGTATCGTATCGTGTATCGTATCGTGTATCGTAAGATACGATGTAATTTTAAATAAATAATAAAAAAATATATATACCTTTGAAAAAAAGTCATACACTCATAAAAAATATAGCATTTCATTAATACTCCACCAACTATTCAAGTTATCAACATAATCCACTACTATTATAATGCAAAGTTCACAACCATAGTTCACTAATTCAAACTTTAAACACCAAAGAGACTTCTAATCCAAATTTCTAACATCCATTTTGAACTCAATCTTCAATTTCAATTGAAAATGCATCATCATCATCATCATTGTGATCGGATGCCAACAAGTCTTCACTTGTCGTTTTTTTTTAAAAAAAATCAGAGCACAAAACGACGTCGTTTTTAAAAAAAAAAAAAAAATTGCACGTATCGTGCGTATCGTACCGATACGTATCGTATCGTAAAAACGTATCGTGTATCGGACGATACAACGCAAAAACGATACATAACTACGATCCGTATCGTTTTAGGGCTGTATCGTAACGTATCGTACGATACGTATCGCGTATCGTACGATACTAACAACTTTGGTCCTAATCATTTGAGGTGAGATATAATATTTATTTACATCCTCGCTCATGTGGGACCCAGGTCCGGTATGTTGCTAACAAATGAACAACCATATGCATAACAAGAAATTCAAATGGGTGAGTAGACCATGGACCACCCATGTCCTTACTTTAATACCATATTAGAACATCCAACCCAAAACCAATTGACAATGAGTGGAGTGATTTGTATCAAGTATATGAATCAACCATGGTGGTCCTAAGTGTTTGATATGTGATACAAGATCTCTTTACACTTTAATCCAAAAATTCTTGTGTTGATAAAAGGTTTATATGCAACTAATCCCTTCTGTTTCATTGTATAGCTTTCTCACTGGAAACCAAAATGCAAGGTTCAGCTATGGATATTCTAGTTTCAAGGGTAAACGGTCCTCAATGGAGGATTTTTATGAGACAAGGATATCAGAAGTGGATGGTCAGATGGTTGCCTTTTTTGGTGTTTTTGATGGTATGCCCTATGTTACTACATACCCAACCTTGTTAGAATGTTCTTTGTAAGTTTTGCATACAAAGATGCAAAGTTCGTATTGATGATGCTTCTGTGCTTGTTATAATCTATTTTGAGAAACCAATACATGTAGCAAACTTGTTTACCTTACTTTGATCTTTAATGTGTGGTTCTCCAACTTAGGTCATGGTGGTTCCAGGACTGCAGAATACCTTAAAATCAACCTTTTCAAGAATTTGAGCAACCATCCAGATTTCATTAAAGACACAAAGTCTGCTATTGGTATGAGGTTTGCAGAACATCTATGTTTATAGAAGGCATTATCTATGCTATCTTCTGCCTCATGTCTCAGTTAATTGGAAAAAGTTCTTGACTGCAGTTGAAGCATTTCGACAAACTGATGCTGATTACCTTAAGGAAGAAAAAGGGCAGCAAAAGATGCTGGATCAACTGCATCAACAGCTGTACTGCTAGGGGATCGGCTGCTTGTAGCAAATGTTGGAGACTCTAGAGTGGTTGCTTGTGTAGCTGGTGCAGGTCAACTCTTTCTCGATTATTTATAAAATGCAATTTTTCCATGTTTGAGGAAAGTCCTGTTTTAAACCATGAGATTTATTGGCATTGTAGAACCCCAGAATCATTTTATGAATGTATTAGAATTCTTTTTGCCTACTGTAACAAGATATAAGTCAAATTCGCCTCGTAAAAGCCTAAAACCTTTTCAGGAAAAAATCCTATGAAAAATAAGGGAATAAAACTATTATTATTTAAATACTAAATCTTCAAAAAGTAAAATGATCGCATCCTAAATTCTTCGTAATTTTATAACATGTCTAAATAAAGCTAAGGAAGCATGTCATCTGTCAAATTCTCAAAATACCGACGTTTGTCACAAAATTGGGCAAATAAATTCCTAGATTCATGAATCTGTGATCCAGCTTCAATTGAGTTGCATCGTTTCTCGATTTTCCATTAGTTGAGGTTAGAGCCTGGTCTCTTACAGCAACCAGAAGCAACTTTTAGTCCCTATGCCAAATAACTAAAGATCTAATTAATGTGTTGGGATCTGTTCAGAAAGAGTTAAACCCTTTTTATATCTTGTCAACATAAATTAAAGTTTTTATTGTTAAGGTACAATGTGTAGTGGGATTAATAAGCGGTGATGACATTCATTACATAAGTACAGACATCTCTTGGTTTTAAAGCTATAGAATATGCAAGAAAATTCCAAAAAAAAAAAAAAGGAAGAAGAGAATTTTCCTTGCATCTGCATCTATGTTGGTGATTTTCTTTCTGCTTCATGTAGCCATTCCTATGTCCATTGATCACAAACCTGATAGAACTGACGAACGCGAAAGGATTGAACAAGCTGGGGGTTTCATCATTTGGGCAGGTAAATTTTGCATTGTTTATTTTGTTATGTTTGCATGCCTTATGTCTCTTCTTGTGTGTAGTTATGCTGTAAGAAGGTGACTTTAACTTTGAGTTAAAGTTACAGTGTGTCATTCTTTTTCTTTTTCATTTTTTTTGTTTATTTGAGGAAGGTAAGCTTGATGTGGCCATGGTGTATGATGCATCCTCATATGTAGTTGAAGAGAACAGGTTATTACCAAGTTTAGTGACTATGGTCTTCATCAATCACATGCGTTAGGTGAATACAGTGGATACATAAGTACAGACCTAATGTTTTAAATTATGTATGCAGAGGCTTTGCTTTGGTATTCGAGCATGCAACTTTGCTGTTTTTATCCCATGCATAGACCTCTGATCTTTCCTTACCATGTTTCATATAATGTTTTGGTATCATTGTGCTCTTAGGGGTCATTTGATTGCAGCATTAAGGGGTGGTTATGGAATCATAATTGATTAAAACTCTCTAATCCAACCTTATATTACATTTGGTTTCCAAAGGACTCTGTATTATATATAGGCTTATTTCGTATTCGTATACGGATAATATACCCTACCTGTATTATGGAGCTAATTATAATACCACCTGGAGTTCAAGCTTCTTAGGTTATAAATTTACTATTTTGCCTCTCAAATAAACGAAAATTTAGATAGCTAGACTAGATTGATATTTTTTTGGTCAAGATGTAATTAGTACTCTATTATACCACTCTTAATTCAGTGTCTTACCAACGTTGTATTATAATGGGTGGTATTTTTGTCTCATAGTTAATTTTGTATTTTATCCACAGAATTAATATGTATTATCTAATACAATTCTTTTTTTTATAATACGGTAATCAGACGAGCCCTTGGTGTTTTTGAAATTACTAATATCTTACCACTCTATTTTTCAAATTATGATAGGTAAATGATCTTTCCTTTCAAAAGAAATATATGGTGCATTATCTTTATTTTTATATTACTGACATTGATTAATCGTGATTTAACTATGATGTTGAGAATGTGAAGTCAGGTTTTTAAAACCATGTTAGCTTTATAGATATTGGTATTAGGCAGCAAAATTATTACTCAAAAGAAATATTGAAAATGATATGTTATGATGGTCACAATAGAATCTGAGTTTTCTTATGTCTTCTTTTAGAGTTGTACATTTTGTATATTCATTATTTTGAGATTTTCTGCTACATTGGACTTTTCATGGGGTTGTTGATGTCAAAGAGGAAGGGAAGGCTGCTACAATATGGTGCGGTGCTGAAAGATATAATACCATCCACTGTTACTCACTTTTGGTTCATCTAGGTTATTGTTTTACTCCATAGATGTACCTCACGTTTCTGATTCTGCCCCCAGCTTAATTGCAACTAGGGAAGTGTCCACATGTGAATTTGTGCTATAAACACTTCTAAGTTTTCCCTGAACACTTCAGGAACATGGCGGGTTGGCGGTGTTCTTGCTGTTTCTCGTGCATTTGGAGACAAACTGCTTAAGAGATATGTGGTAGCTGAGCCAGAAATTCAGGTAATGTGAATAAATGCTTTTTGGACTTAGAAAATATAGTTTTTTCTCCCTTTGGTACAACTTATGTATATATCCTATACTATAAAAGAGTGGATGCACAACCTTCGTCTCGCTACTGTTCACAAAAAGGTGTTCAACTAGCGGAGCTTTGGTCCATAGAAGACAAGATCTTGCATAGACAAAGTCTCCTGCCTTTTGTATCTCCAAGACTGCAACGTCAGTGTTTATTTTTTTGGGGGGTGGGTGGGTTTGTGCTGGGTCAGAGTCCAAACTAGGCCAAGATCTTGGTAAGGTAATTCCCATACCAACTGGGGCAACCCTTGGTAAAAGTTGTACCTGACTACTTTATGTTATTTGTAGACTATTTAATACCCTCCAACCTCACACTTATTATTTTTGCCCTCTTGCCCATGCTTAGGAAGAGGAAATCGATTGTGTAGAGTTTATAATCATAGCAAGTGATGGACTTTGGAATGTCCTTTCAAATAAGGTAATGACTACAGTCTCTCTACAAAAGTTTGGTCTATTGAAATACTTGTGGTTCCTCTACTTCTACCATTTTCGTTGGATCTTCTAATTTTAGCTTGTGGTACTGGCCTGCAGTCTGAGTATCATGATATATCGCATTGACTGAGATGTATGGGGATTGGAAACTTGAAATGTGAAATTTTCCTTTTTGGCTAAGATGGCATTTACTCAATTTTATTGCCACCAAGCACAAAAAAAAAAGAAGATATTTCTTTTACTCAATTTCTCAGTTGGATATGTAGGCACTGTTGAAGCCTACTTATCCAACTGAGAAATTGCTCTTTGTTAAGCTACAATGAGAGGTGGTTATAAAGGTGACGAGACGAGCTGTCAACTGTTTTCTGCACGACTGCCATGTTTCTGATTGTAATGATTGAATAGCACCATAACGAACTGTATACTTGATTATGATATGGTCATGGCTTTTACTTTATCCTCAGAACTAATAAGTGTACATAATATTAAACTGGAGAATGCATGCTTTAATTTTTATAGTTTGCTTCAAAACAAGTTCTATTTAAGAATAACTGGGATTAATTGGCATTTGACCTTGTTTGTTCCGGCAATACAGTGCCCAACACTCCTGTACATCATTTTGCGATTTTATTGGAGCTATTTTCTTATCTTCTCAAACACTGGGAAATGTTTGCCATACAAACTGGTGTTTGTGGAGTTCAAACTTGTAAGTGCTCTCTTTTGCTTTCAGGATGCTGTGGCTATTGTGCAGGACATATCAGATGCAGAAGCAGCATCTAGAAAACTAATACAAGAAGCCTATGGAAGGGGTAGCTCCGACAATATAACTTGTGTAGTTGTTCGATTTGAGAACCCATGAGGTCCATGTTTTAATCAATTGCAAGTTATTTTTTTCTTGAAATTTTGACATGCGTCTTCTCTTATTAGAACTTCTCTTTGGTCTTGCAGGTTAAAGGACTCTTAAGGAGGATCCAAACCTTCATAAAGCCTCTACTCATTCAGCTTTGCCATTCTTTTGGCTCTATATTTAATTAGCATTGAGTGCTTAATTTTTGGATTGGCAGTGCTCATGTTTCTTTAGTTTTTATATCCTCTGCCCCTAATCGGTGTATCATGGGCAACTATGTCTTCGGAATCCCAACCAGATTTAAGGACTGGTTCAGGACAAGGATAATCTAATTGTTCCCATAGGTTTTCATAAAGAATATCTGAAAACTCTGTTAGAGCGATTTCTTATTTATTTCTAGAAATATGCTGTCTAAGGGACTTCTAGCAAGGTACTAGTAAAAAGTGCATTCATGAAGAAATTAGGATTGATGGTCTATTCGGTCATTTGATTAGTGTTTTGGATTGAAATATGGTTTACAACGGAAAGAAAGTTGATAGCCAGCAACCCTGTGGTATGATTGCTGTTGTATAGATCCCTACCTGAAAGGTTGGCAGGGGATACATGAAGCCTCACCGTATAGAACTTTTACCCAAAAAATTGGAGTGCAGCTTTATTTTCATCGCGTTAACTAGAGGCTGTCCAGCCCTTCATTTCTGATCAATGTTATTCAGATTGACTCAAACAAGGAGACCGGCATGTCTGATGGTCAATCTTTTTCAGCTTCCCCTCTCTCCCTCCGTCCATCATTCTTACATTGACTCTTCCTAACTGTAGTGATTTCTCCTGGAGCCCAAGTTAGATGCTTTAAATCTCGGTGACTCTTGTGACATCCAAGGATTGATCATGGGTTGTGTTTGAGTTTGTGTCTAAAATGTCTGAGTCAAAATTTGTTGAACTGATACCTGGTTCCTTTATAATAGTGAGTAATCGGATTTATGTCATGTTGATTTTGTATTGTGTATTAGTTGTGTGTAGTGGGTTCATGTCATGTCGTGTTTAGCCGAACATGTCAACCTGTTTTTATTTACAAGCTTAATGGTCTACCTCTTTACCATTAAAGCTCATTAACGGTAAATGCAAATCATTTATTTTTATATTAATTTAGTGTTTTAATTCTACCTTTAAAATATATAATTTGAATTTTAAAAGTTGTGCTTTTTGTGATTGATTAACATGTTTATGATTAATTATTGATTTTTAAGTTATAATTTAGACCCTCAAAAAAGTTTAATTGAACTTTTAAATGTCATAATTTTTGGTATAGAGGTATTGCAGTGGTTTCGCTAATCGGGTTATTTATATCAAAATCCCTAAATCACCCCTTATTGATCACTCATATTTTTCTTTTTTGGGTTGTGTATTGATCACCCATAGAAAGTTAAATTTTTTTATACAATACAAACTATTCATAAAATTAGCGGGGTTAGAGCAGACTAGTTTTGACAAAAATTTAAAAATGACATGGGGTGTTAGCACAAGTAATCAAGTCAAGTTAGTATCAATTATTTAATTAGTATTTATACTAAAAAAATCTCATTTTATTATTTTCTTGAGAGGACAATTTATGAATCCTCATACACTTGAAAGATTTTTCACTTGGTTTAGCCAGTATATAGATTGAGGTTTTTAAGGTTATGGAACAAATTGCGTTGTTGTTTTGATTGAGAGCGAATCACTTAATTGATTGGTAGTTCTCAAGGTTTCTTCCACGTTTTTCTTATAGTTTTCATTTTTTGATAGGCAGGGGAAGACCTTGGAACAGGATTCACTTTGATAGAGGATTCGGAATTTATTCTAATATTTGTCATACATGAGATCTTGATCGTCTTTTTCCCGAGTCTTCTTGTACATCGGGGGAAGGAAGGTGAGGTAGTACATGCAACTATATAACATTTATGGTTAAGGGTATCAATTGTATTGAGTTTAGCGAGCTCATATCGGGTCTAACCGGGTTCATATAAAAAATTATTTAATTCGTACATGATTTGTTTAATTAAACAGATGAAAATTTATATAATTAAATACGATTCGTTTATTAAATAGGTTACCCGACACAATTCGCTTTAACTAATTTAATAAACAAGATTATTAATATAATTAATAAACTTTTTTTTGAACTCATCTAATTATTAAAGTACACATATTATTCTGGCTGAATTTTCTTTTTGAATAATTATTAATTTTATTTAAACTACTAATAAAATAGATTAACATATCTTACACAAAATACAATACACTTATTAAACGTGTCTAACCGTTCACCCATTTATCACTCACACTCATTAAAAATTCATTCAAATTCGCATAACTCAACGGGAATTAATAGTATTGTGTCGCATTCTAACACACTTATTTATCATAGCAACAAAATTGGACTCACCAAAATAATGATATATTAACAATGACTTTAACGGTTCTTTGTCAATCCCTCTATCGGGGAGCTAGCCCCTGGGGTAAAAGATCCTTCCTTTAAATAGCTGTCATTTCGAGCTACAAAATCTGAACAAGACACGATTAAGACATTTGATGTGTGTGTATACATATATATATATATATATAAAATAAAATAATTAGATTATTTTTTAAAATTTTTCTCAGCTTAAATTGTTTTAATTCGATAATCTTAACTGAACCTTCATTCATTTTACAATTTAAGTCTTGTATTTCTCAAATAACACTCTCTCTCTCATACTATTATCTTTTTTTTTTTTGTTTTTTTTGTGTTGTTTTTGTTATTATATACCCCATAAAAATAAAACTACATGTTATATAATTATTTATTCGATGAAATTAATTCAAAGATTTTATATATCTGACAGCATATACTTTGTCACTTATTTTTTAATTTATAAATAACACATAATGTAAATAAAAAATAATACATTGAGTATAAACACCAATTAATATTCAGCATGAATGAACCTTAAATTGTAATGAGATAGAATGAAAGACAATGTTATCTCATACTTTCTTTTTTAGTATTATTTGTTTGTGTTGATGATCCTAATTAGACTTATTTACTCAAAACATTTATATGATTTTATAGATAAAAAATTGTTTAAATATTAAAAAAAATTCTCAGGTTGTAGATATTTTAAAGCCAAGTTAATTACCAATAAAAAAAAAATTAAAAGTCAAGCTAATCACTAAAAAAAAATAACAAGTGTTACCAATAGCACAAAAAAAAAATCTAAATCAAGTTAATCACTAATAAAAAATAAAAAATGATATAAATTTCACAAAAAAAATTTTAAAAAAAATTATGCACAAAAAAATATTCTAAATCAACTATCATTTTTCCCCCTTATTTTCATCGTTTTTCTCTTACTAATGTTAATATTTTTTAAATATTTCAACAGTTTAAAATAGATACTGAAACGATAAAAATGTCAGTTAAATCAATTTTTTTTTAAGTAGTGAGATTTTGATTTTGTTGTTCTGGTTTAATTGTAGCGTGAAAATATTTCTATAGCATCCGAGAAGTCATAGTAATAAATAATTTAAATTAATTGTTCTTGCAGTTACAAGCAGATTCGCTGGACAATATTGTTCAGTTGGGTATTTTTTTCTATTTTTTGAAAATTTTATTTGTAATTCAATGTGAACTAGAAAACCTATTCATTTTATTTAGTTAGAGGTTGAAAAAATGAACACTCATTGGAAAAAAGAGTCGTTAGAATAAATATATAACTGAATAATTTTGTAATTGTGTTAATTTAAGTTCATAGGAATTTTTGAATTGTATTAATATAATATAATTTTTTCATTTCAATCCTTGGACTTCTTTTATTTAAGGCATTCTTAGATGTCTCATTTGCTTGACAAATTTTTTGTGTTAAGAGTATCTTTTAGGCACGAATAATGATTAATATATCTATATAATAAAGTAGAGTTAAGTTTAAATTTTATAGATAAAAAGAGGTTCAAATTATTTTGAAGCAAAACATAAACACATCTAACAAACAACGTAATCCTAACATAAAAGACGATTTAAATCATCTCAATAATTTTAATTTAGCAGTTTACAGTGAGTACTGAATTTTATTTTCCCACCCAACAACATTTATTGAGTCACGCCTCTTTCTCTCTCCTAATCTCTCACGCCTTATCTCTCTCTTCCAATTTCATCCCATATACAACCCTAGAGTTCTTTTGCTCACGTACCTCTCTCTCTCATACGATGTCTCTCTCTCCCTCCCTCAGTCTACTCTCTCAGTCACGCGTCTTCTTTCCTTTCTCTCTCTCTCTCTCTGCAAACCGCCTCTGTCACACTTAATCTTCTCACTTCGCTTCATCCTCATGCCCTAGTCATCTCTGGGACTTCCATTTTTTTTTACTCTATCTCTCTCACTCTATGGAATCATTAGATTAATCCACCCCCAAGAAATCCACCACAGGCAAAGTCTAGGTACACTCTATTAGTCCCTTTCCCTCACTCTTTCTTCGTTTCTCTCCCTCTCTATCTTCTGGTTGTCAACACACATACAAACACACACATACACAACACACACGCAGACCACCCCATTGCCACCAGCCGAATCACCAATCACAACCCAACTCTCTTCCTACACAAACTGTTTGTTGAAATGCCTCACAAAATAATTTTCCTTGCTTTGATTTATTTTGGTGGTTTTGTTAATTTGTATGGACTGGATGTTGGTTTTGGTAGTTTGATTTTTCTATTTTTTGATTGTTATTAGGTAACTTAGTTTAACTTTAATGTTATTAGGTCGCGATTGCTATGGTGTCAACACAGATCGTTTGATTTTCCATGCATGTGATAGAATCAGGAAGAGATCTGAGAAACAGTGCCTCAAGAATAAGATATTGAGAAAATTCCTTTTTTTCTGGCATTTTATTTACTTATTCACATTGTACTCCGTGATTAAATTTATTGCCTATCACTTGAGTAATTTCCTTGGTTTTACTCGGATTAGAGACTGTTAGTAGTCAGAAAATGGGAAGAAAGT